CTTTCAAATAAATAAATAAATCTTTTTAAAAAACCTAAGGAAATCTTAATTAACTGTAGACTTTGGCTGATAATAATTCACAATTATTAATCCACTAATTGTAACAAACGTATCATACAGATGCAAGGTATTAATGATGGAACAACTTGCCTTAGCGTAGGTGGGAACTCTGTACTTTTCTACAAATTTTCTGTAAATCTAAAACTAGTCTAAGATAGATTAAGTTTTACAGATATTTCCTTGTTTTTGGATATAACATTTTTATTTTATATCATAATTGAAGGCTTGTTGGCTCCACAGGACAAAGTCCAACAAAGAAAAAGTCAAAAGATCACAGCCCAGTAGGGAAAAAGGCAATAATCAAAGAAAATGAAGTTCAATGTTAGTCATACGAAGAAAATTTTTAAATAGTCAAGAATCATTAAAACTATATTAGTGTGTTTCACAAGTATTTAGAAGTTTGGCAAACCTGCATTTGCAACAAAACTGATACACCCCAGCATATGAGGAAGAGCATGTAATTTTATTAATTTTTAATTAGGAAAGTGAATCATTTATTAACCACATGAGGAAAATCAGTGGCATGAAAGTTACTAGGAAGAACCGACCCTGAAGAATGCAGAGCTGATGCCGGAAACAAGGCTGTGACACAGAGGGTCTTCAGTTAACACCCTCAGCCAGGGAGCGAGACCCTGCATCCACGAAGCAAGAACAGGCTGCTCTGAAAGGGAGCCATGTGAGAACCAGGAACCACTGAGGTTTAAAAGCTCACTGGGAAGAGTGGAAGATCATGCCAGTGAAGCCCCGTGACCCATAAATGAAAGGCACAGATGGATAATGGGAGTGAGATGGACAGGACCCAGACAGATGGCCCATCAACTAATAGGCCTCTAGGCAGAGAAATACATGTGAACTTCACATTGTTCATAGAAAAATGGAATTAAAAGGTGGGCCTATTTTGATGCCAAAATGTTTGAAATTCACGCATATGGGGATTCTTCAAAAGGTCATGAGAAATGTGTATTATGAAAAACTGCTTGAATTTCAAGATTGTTTGTACCCAAAGAAACTCAATTTCATCTTCCACAAACTTGCTGAAGTACCTGCATATGACTAGGAAATGACTTTGTACAAAGTCATAGCAATAAAACACAACAGGTGGACTTTCAACTGTCGATGTGTATGGATAAGACATGGAGCATTAGTAGCAGACCAGAATGAGATATTATGAGCTATGGCAAAGGGGAATAAAGATGGGTCTGGTGGACTTTGGAAGGAGAGGAGGAGGAAAAGGTGAGGCGGGAATGAGTATGCCACGTTCACGCTCTTGCTGAATTCTGCTGGGAGGAGAGGCCCTTGTAAGTGTGTCACTTACAAACACAAAGAGAAGGCTAGCAGGAGAATGAAAGGGGATAGCTGACTTTTAAAAACAGAAGAAAGAGGCTTGCCCAGATCCACCTTTAATTTACTGGAATAGGATTGATATCAGAATTGGACCCCTGTCTACTTCAGGATTGGAGAACGTTGTGTCTTACTGAGCTGTAAGAGCCCTCCAGGGAGCTGAGAGCTGAATGGAGTCTGCGCTTGAGTGCTGTTGCTCTCTTCCTAAGTTCCCTATTGTTTTGGGTTGGTTCCTGCTGTGTCTGGGTTACTTTGATTCTTTGCTATTAATAGCATGCAAGGCATGCAGGTGGTGAGGTCTTTGGGGTGGAGACATGTACAGTTGGGAGACCCTGCAGGACTAAAGCGACACTCAGAGGACCGAGAGGACCAGGGACATAGCAGAGGGCTTGAGCCTGGGTGGGGAAGGAGGTGGTGAGGGGGACTGGGAGACACACAGCCATCCCTGGACCGTTGGAATTGACCAGAAGTCCGTATAGTCCTAGTATCCAAAGGCTGCAATCTTTCACATTTCTGAAAGGATACGGGATCTTTTCTTTCAAGGCCATCACACAAGCCAGGCGACAGAACCGGGGCTCCCAGAAGTGGCACAGACTTTGTGGTCCTCCTGGGTCCCCTTTTTGGGGACGAGCAGCGGCGGCGGCAGCAGCACATGGAAAGAGGCAACCTCCAGCTGCCACCAGCTCACCTTGGTGCTCACAGTGGGCTTCCTGTTAACCTCCCAGCACCGCCCACCTGTGCAGGAACATCTGGCTGCCTGCCTGTCTGCCCAGGGGTGCAAATAACTGATGCAGATTCACTCCCATTTCCTGTGAGGCTGACCTGGGTTGAGCTCCAGGCTCCTAGCTTCAACCCAGCCTAGCCCTAGCCACTGTGTGCATTTAGGTGAGCGAAGGGGTGGATGAGAGCTGGTGCTTTCTCTTTCCTTCTCTAGCTGTCTCTCAAGTGAGTTTTCTAAAACTTATTTTAAAAGAAAGGGGGTGGAGGTGGGAGTAGAAACAGCCTGCATTCAGCAACGTCTACCTGGCAGGGTGGAGGAGGCACGGGCCTCCAGTGAGTGCTGGGAGACAGAGCGCATGTGGAGGCGCACAGATGAGCCAGAGTGGTGTGAGCTTCCGTGGAGAGAGGACAGGGGGAGGTCGCCCAGTCCGCCTTCTACTGCCTTTGACTTGTTCGTACTGGCGTCAGCTGCTCTCATGCGGCAGTAGGTCGCCCACGTCTCTGGCTCCGTTCGGTCCAGTTGGCTTGCTCTGCCGTCAGCTGTGGCGATGTTGATGTTCTCTGAAAACAACGTGCTTCGGGGTCCTCACTTGTGGTGCCTGTTGCTCTCCTCGTTGGTTCTGCAGTGTTACTCTCCTGCTTAGTCATGGCAACACCCTCCTCGTCCATACCTCCTTCTCGTTGCATTGGTGCTGTAAGAAAGAGAAAAGCCAACCAACAAGTGAAATAACCAAGCAGGATTCGCTCTTCCTTGTGTAATATCAGAAATCCGCAGGCCGGCAGTTAGCAGAGTTGGTTCAGAAACTCTGTGATATCAGGGCATGTGACGGCAGTCAGCCATGCCACACTCATTCTCTGGGCCGTTTCCTCATGTCTGTGAAGTGGCTGCTGTGAATCTGACCATCACATCCACACTCAAAGCAGACAAGTTAGGAAGGGGCAGAGATGAGAACTTCCTGTGAATTTTTTTGGGGGGTGGCCCAGGCAAACTCTCCCAACCCTGGGCACTTGGGTGGGTGTGGGAGCTAGGAGTGTGCAGCACCCAGGTTGCTGTCTCTGCTCAGAGCGAGTTGATGGGGATGCCAGCGCTGACAGTCATGTGACTCCACATCTGGCTGCAATGGGAAAGCAGCCTTTTGTATTTTTAGCAATCGGTAACCAATCACTTCTACTGAACAACATATGATCTTTTTGTGCTTTTTTAAAAGATTTATTTTATGTATTTGGTAAAGATAAGAGAGGGCGAGAGGAAGGGATGGAAGAGAGAGCTGCTCCCTCGCTGGTCCACTCTTCAAATGGCCACAATGGCCAGGGCTGGGCCAGGCTGAAGCCAGGAGCCAGGAGCTTCACCTGTCTCCCATGTGGGTGCAGCACCCGGGCCATCCTCCGCTGCTTCCCAGGCATACTGTCAGGGAGCTGGGTCAGAAGTGGAGCGGCTGGGACGTGGGCCGGCGCCCATAGGGGATGCTGGCCCTGCAGGCAGCAGCTTACCCCGCCGTGCCACACACCAGCACCTGGACGATGTGTAGTCTTGATATGAGAGTTAACTCAGCGCATTCATTGAATACACAGACACCCACCTTTGCTCACTTCTGCAAAGGCATATGCGGATAGCTGGAATTCCCTACAGGTCTGTGGCTCTGCGGGTTTGGGATCCCTTATCACAGAGCAGGCTCCAGGCTGTTCCACGTCCTCTGTTGTCAGGGAGGGCCTGGCCGTCTGTCCCCATGAGCTGCTGCTCCCAGGCGGCACCTGGCAGGGCCTGGGGACGCCAGTGTGTGGCAGATTCCAAGGAGGTTCCCTGCAAAATGTGCGATGATTCTGTGTGCCGGCTTCGGGGGCAGAAGGTGTGAGTTTTCATCCTGTGTCTGCCTCTTGGGAGTTCACCTGCAAGTTACGGAGCTCTTCCGTCACACCAGGCGTCTTCTGGAAGTCTCCATGCACTGACCCATGGATCGGGATGCATCCCCGGGGTAGGGCCTGCCAAGATTCCCCTCCCGTCGGAATGGGGATTCTCAAGGTTGCTGATGTGCAGGAAAGGGGCTGCGGCACGCTGGGATCGGGGCATGTGATAGCAGTTCACCCAGCTGAACGGCACAGATGTGGGACCAGCATTTGAACCAGGTGGTGACCCGGGCCGGGACTCTCAGAGTCCGCAGGCCAGTGGCACCTCTGAGCCAGACTCCTTGGGGGTGGTGTTCCCGTGGCCACCAAGGCGGTAGGCTTTGTCCCTGGCCAGCTGAGAAGTCGGCTCACTGGTTACTCCAGGGAAGCTTGTTAGAAGGTGCTGGTCCACCTTCTAGAAATCAGCGGGGGAGGGGCAAGGAGGAAGTGGGTCTCTGAGAGCGTCACGTGAGTGCACAGCAAGAATGCGGGGCCCAGCATGGTTCTCACACCTGTCAGGAAGAGCAGGTGGGGGTGACTCCGAGCCCTCTGTGCCATGTGCTCACCACCCCAACCCCAGGAGGCCCGCTCAGGGGTGACCTTGGGCTGTGGGACAAGGGAGATGCCTGGTGCTGGAGGCCCAGATCTGTGACCCAGAGTCAACAGGCTCTGTCCCTCTCCATTGGGGGGGCGGGGGGGGAGGAGGTGTCTGTGCCAGCCCCGCCCCCACCAGGGGCATCTGTGATTCTGGTTCTGCCGCGTCAGCCCCTCTCTGCTGGCATCTTCCCGGGCACCCTCTGGCTGTGCTGGGTGCCGACTTCCCCTCCCTGTGAAGCCCCCAGCCCCGTTGGTTTGGAGCCCCCTGCCCTGCCCTGGTACAATGTCATGACTACCCCCGCAGTGGCCCCGGGGTTAGGCCCCTACATGGGAGCTCGGGGGGCGGGTGGGGCTCAGTTCTGGCCGTGACGCTGTCTGCTCTGTCTCCTCTGTCTCAGCGGCACCCTAAGCGGGGACGAGAGGGAGCCGGAGGGCCCAGAGGGGGAGTGGACGCCTCCGGACGAGGAGCTGGTGAGGAAGCTGGTGGAGCAGATCGAGTTCTACCTGTCGGACGAGAACCTGGAGAGAGACGCCTTCCTGCTCAAGCACGTGCGCAGGAACCGGCTGGGCTACGTGAGCGTCAAGCTGCTCACGTCGCTCAAGAAGGTGAGGCGGTCCGGAGGGCCGGGCGCCGCCCCAACCGTGCGCCTTCCCCGCGCCTGCGCTGCCGAGCGGTTTGTGTGTGTGTGTGGGGGGGGGGCTGGCCATTAAGGATGCGCTGTCGTGGTCCTGCAGAGGGCCCAGCTGGGGCTCGTGGGTGCCGCTATCAGCTGTCACTCCTAAGGGCCAGCTGTTTTGCCAGGCAAGGGGTGCCTGGGAGGATGCTGTGCAAGACAGGAGACGCGAGGCCTTGAGAGACGCCAGGGAGGCCAAGAACTACATGAAATCCAAGCTTGTCTATTGGTCAGTTGAGGACATGGTGGGAGGGAATGAGCCCCCCGGAAGTGGGGGGGGGGACCTTCTTATCAGCCTCTCCGCCAAGGGCGCTGCCAGCACCTCCCCCGGGTGGCAGAGGCGGCCATGCAGGCTGGCATCTGGGTTGTGCACTCTGCTGCTCCACCACTCACACACACACACTGCCTGTTAAAGGTGGGCAGTGGTTTGGCTTATATGATAGCCGCCTTCCAGCCTGCAGGGTTTTTTCTTTTTCTTTTTTTAAGTGTTGGAAAGACAGAGAGATACAGAGAGCAGGCTCCCACGTGCTGGCTTGCTTCCCGAAGGCCCACAACGGCCGGGGCTGGGCCAGACCAAAGCCAGGAGCCGGAAATTCAATCAATGTGAGAGGCAGGTACCCAAAGAGTTGAGCCATCACCTGCTGCCTCCCGGGCTGTGCATTAGCAGGGCGCTGGCATGAGGAGCAGAGCTGGGGCTTGAACCAGGGACTCTGCCATGCATCTGAGCTGCCGCAGCAAACGCCCGCCCCCGGAGCCTGCAGCTTTCACCTGGAAACTTATGCAGGATCTACTCTTCCCAGTGTCGAGGACGGCTGTGTTGGACACACTGCTGTGGGTTGCACTGCCCTTGTTGGCAGTGGCAGAAGCTGTGTTCATTCAATTCCTCCCTCACCAGGTCTCTGAGCGCCCGTGTGCGCCACAAGCGGTTCTAGGCACCAGTGTGAGGATGGGGTAGGGAGCAGGGAGGGGCTGTGGGGCACAAGATGCCGGCAAGGGCTCCGGGCCCCATCTCAGACTTGCCTTCTGTTCCCAGGTGAAGCATCTCACGCGGGACTGGAGAACCACCGCACACGCCCTGAAGTTCTCAGGGCTCCTGGAGCTGAATGAGGACCGCCGGAAGGTGAGGAGGACCACCCCCGTCCCGCTGTTCCCCAGCGAGAACCTCCCCAGCAAGATGCTCCTGGTCTACGATCTGTACCTGTCGCCCAAGCTGTGGGCCCTGGCCAGCCCCCAGAAGAACGGCAGGGTGCAGGAGAAGGTGATGGAGCACCTGCTGCAGCTCTTCGGCACCTTTGGCGTCATCGCGTCCGTGCGGATCCTCAAGCCTGGGCGGGAGCTGCCCCCCGACATCCGGAGGCTCAGCAGCCGGTACAGCCAGGTGGGCACCCAAGAGTGTGCCATTGTGGAGTTCGAGGAGGTGGAGGCGGCCATCAGGGCCCACGAGTTCATGCTCACGGAGTCTCAGGGCAAGGAGAACATGAAAGCCCTCCTGATTGGGATGAAGCCCCCCAAGAAGAAACCTCCCAAGGAGAAGCCCCCCGCGAGCGCGCCCATGAACAGGTCCCTGAACAAGCGGGTGGAGGAGCTGCAGTACGCGGGAGACGAGTCTTCGGCCAACAGCTCCTCCGACCCCGAGAGCAACCCCACGTCCCCCATGGCTGGCCGGCGGCACGCGGCCGCCAGCAGGCTCAGCCCTTCCGGCCACCAGAATCTCTTTCTGAGCCCCAGCGCCTCCCCGTGCTCCAGTCCTTGGAGCAGCCCCTTGGCCCAGCGCAAGGGCGTGTCCCGAAAGTCCCCTCTGGCGGAGGAGGGCAGGCCGGGCCCCGAGGCCCCGCGCGCGGGCGCGGATTACTCCTCCGACAGCAGCGTCACCCCCTCCGGCAGCCCCTGGGTCCGGCGGCGGCGCCGAGCCGAGATGGGAACACAGGAGTCCCCGGCGGCCAGCCCGCTGCTGTCTGGGAAGGTGCAGACCGCCGACGGCCTGCCGGTCGGGGTGCTCAGGCTGCCCAGGGGCCCCGACAGCACCCGGGGATTCCAGGGCGGGCGCGCGCGGAGCAGGGCCTGTGTGTGACACCTCCGGCGAGCAGCCGGCCAGCTCCCTCGGGTGCCGACAAACACCTGGCGTGACCTGGAATGGCAATACATCCCCCTTTGATGTCTTTTGTACACATGTAGACCTCGTAAATTATATATTGGTAATGTATATACGTTGTGTGCTCCTCAGCTCAGAACTCCAGCCTCCCAACGCGGCCCGGGTGGGTGGCTGTGTGAGCAGCGCTCTGCCGCCTGGGGTGGGGGTGGGTACAGGGCTCCCCGGGGAAGGCCCTGACATCTCTGCTGTGGCCTGGGATTTTCCCTGCAGGACTGGGCTGTTGCTGGTGGGCCGAGTCTGGGAGATTTCTGCCGTGCTGCGTGCCAACAGCTAAGCCGATAGCATGGTGTCCCATAGGACCAAATGTACCTTACTTGTCAAGTGAATAAATCCTAAAACAGCCAACGGGGAATGCTGACTTGGGGGTCGCACGGTGTACCCACCCACCGGCAGGACTGCGGGTGGGGTTCCCTGGCATCCTGAGGGGTCTTGTCACAGTGGCTCTACCTGGGCGGGGAAGGGGCGGGGTGGTGTCAACCCCACCAGGAACTGGCCAAAAATGGAGATTCCCAGGGCCCACCCCAAATCCTACTGGGGCAGAGGCTCTGGGGAACAGGCCTGGATTTTCTCACAGGCCCATAAGGTGATTCTGACCCTACGTGAGGACAGCCAGCAGACATGGTGCTGGAACCAGAGGGCAGCAGCAGGCACCCACGTCTCACCTGCTCACCCCAGCCCCACTGTCTGCCCGAAAGTGCTTGCCTGGACGTCTCCCGTGCAGCCGGCCCTCCAGACATGCTAGCGCCTGCTGGTTCTCTCCAGGGCTCACATCTGTTGTCATCAGAAGCCACCGTGGTGTTGCACAAAGAGCTCCAGACTGGGTTCTGGGGTTCGGGTTTGGGGCCTTTACAGAACTTGTTCGTTAGTGTGCAGCCGTCAGGTGCTGGGACTAGGGCGAGGGCCTCCATGCGTTCTCTCCTTAAATCCTCCAGCAGCCGTGCAGAAATGCTCAGGATTCGTCCCAGCACCAGAAGCACCTGTGTCCCGTGTGGCCTGCTGACTTGTCCAGGTGTAGCAGCTGGTGTCATCCTCACAAAACACACACACACACACAGGAAGGGCCGGTGTTGTGATGCAGCCAGTTAAACTACCCCCTGTGGCTCTGGCATCCCAGGGCTCTGCTTCCGATCCGGCTCCCTGCTAATGCACCTGAGAAAGCAGCAGCAGATGGTCCAAATGCTTAGGTCCCTGCCACCCATGTGGGGAACCAGTATGGAGTTCCAGGCTCCTGACTAAGCCCTGGCTGTTGCCAGTATATGGGGAGTGAACCAGAGGATGGAAGACCTGTGTGTGTGTGTGTGTGTGTGTGTTCTGTGCTGTTCTTTCAAATAAATAAATGTTGATCTTTAAAAAACAGAAAGGAGACCCCACGGAAGGTGCTCCTATTTGCTCAGCACCCTCCTGTGGGCTAGGCGTCTTGCTGGACATTTCTCCGTCCCCCGTGGTGCCCCTGGATGTTTTACGGCAGTTTGTAGGAAAACAACGCTTCCCACAATGGTGAGGATGGAAGGAGAGGATGCACTGTGTACATGTAATTCTCTGTGATTACCGTCAGGCTAGTAAGGCGGGTCCTGTGAGACCCAGAAGAATTCCTGTAACCCGAAGATGCCTCCAGCAATTTCTGGGATTTGCCACTGACACCACTGTACAATCACTTTGGGGGGCCAGTGATTTGTGTGCAGCCCTCAGGCCCCACCCTGGGCAGGGCAGCATGGCCCCCTCGAGCCCAGCTGACTGCCTGGACACTGGGGCTCCACCCACTCTTCCCGGCCTCTGGTCACTCAGTGGTCCCACCTTGGTGGGACCAGGGCACACAGCACACCTGAGGGTCCCACTGCCTACATTCTCACCTTGATGTGTGATACAGATGGGCCTGGCCTCTACCTGTGCTGCTGCCCAGCGGAGCGGGAGGAGAGGATCTGCAGATCTGAGTTCTCATTGTGGTTTCTGCAATCAAGCATTGTCGGCCCTGAGTGAGTCCTTGCCCTCTGGCTCACGGCTTCCCTACCTGTGGGTGAGGGTCAGGTGTCCCTTAGGTCACACCCCCTGGGGGCGGTGCTTGGTGACCTGTAGGGCACTCTGTGTCTGTCAGTCACCCTGGGACAGAGCCTCCTCTTTTTGCTGTGGTCTGACACCTGGCCTCACCTTACGGGGACACAGCGGGCCACCCAGGCTGCTCTGATTGAGTTTTGCAGGGAGCCTGGTGTATTTGGAAGCTCTAGAGGCAGCACTAAGAGGCTCCGGTCACTGGCATCCCCTGGAGGGGAACCCAAGGACACCTGTGCCCTGCTCCTGCTCTGGGACCGGCCCTGGCTGTCTCCCCCACGTCTCTGTCCCCAGAATGGCGCGCGCCACATTCCTGAGGCTCCAGCGCCCTGTGGATGAACCTGCCGCTCTTTGTACATCTCTGGCCAAGCCTCAGCTCGGGCACCGTCTTCCTGTTTGCTAGCCTTGCGGGTCTCTGTTGAATGACTTGACCAGTGAACTTGGCCAATAGAATGTTTACAGATGTTTTACTATTTTTACAGATGTAGCATGATTTTAAAGAGAGCCAGCTCCCTCTCCACACTGGGTTGCGGAGCCCCCTGCTGGCCTCCCCTTGCGGTGCTGGCAGAACACCCACAGCTGCCACGTGAGACGCCAGCTGGACCACCCTACTCCTGACCTTCCATCTCCTGGGTCACCCAGACTGGAACCAAGGCTGTCTGGGTCTGGCAGCGGCGAGGAGTTTGACTGCTGGGGCCTCTGACAGAAATTAGCCTCCCTTTGCCTCATCCCCCCCACTCCCGAAAAATGATACTAATTGCTACTTCCTGTGACTTGGTAGAATTCTACAACACCTGGGAAGAGCTTGGTACCTCGCACAGGGTGAATGCTCACAGAACACCAGGCAGCCACAGGAGCGCCTCCTCCTTCGCATCACAGACAACCGTGCCAAGCCGTCCTCCCGGCTCTGCCACCTGCCTTCCCTGCTCCCCCACCCCCACCCCGCGGGGGTGCTCACTCCATCCCGTCCTGCCCTTCATAACTGGTGCCCTTGCCGGCTGAGAAGGCCAGGATGGCTGTGCACCCTGCCTGGTGCGCCCTCTTGTGGTGAAGCAGTTGAGCCACAGCTCCCCTGACTTACAGCAGGTGGGTGGCAGCTCTCTTCACGCGGGAACAGGTTGCATCACTCCAGGTGGGGCTGGGTCTTGGTCTGTCCCACAGGCAAGACTTGAACGCGTGACAGGCAACTTTTTTTTTTTAAGATTTTATTTATTTGAAAGGTAGAGTCACAGACAGAGAAAAGGAGAGACACTCCCCAGATGGCCAAAACAGCTGGAGCTGGGCCTATCTAAAGCCAGGAGGTGGGAGCTTCTTTGGGGTCTCCCATGTGGGTGCAGGGGCCAAGGACTTGGGCCATCCTCCACTGCTTCCCCAGGCCATAAGCAGGGAGTTGGGTCGGAAGAGGAGCAGCCAGCACTCATATGGGATGCCGGCGGAGGCTTAACTTACTATACCACAGTACCAGCCCCAGGCAAGTACTCTTTGGAGGCACTGGTTCGGCCATTATTTTGAAAAAACATTAAAAAAAAATGAGCTGGCTTTTCCCAGCCATTTCATCCACATGCTCTGTTCCTGGTGTGGTGTAAACACGACGGAATCCCTACCTAGAAACTCAACACGGGACTCCAACGTTCTGGCTTCTCACTCTTCACACCGTTCCCTTCCTGGGAAAACAGCCTGGCGAGGGGTCCCCGGACGACAGGTTCTTGGCTGGCCCCGTCCTCTGTGGCTGCCCCAGCGGGAGGGAGGGGACTTCCCGGTACTCACAGCCTTGGGTGCTGGAATAAGGGGCGCGGGGGTGCATGTCTGGAGGGTGTGCAAAGCTCCGAGGGTCGAGCCATCTCTACTCTGGCTGAGCAGCTGGAGCGCAAGCCCTAGCATTGGCTGGGGGCAAGCAGAGCAAGTGGCCCTGCAGGCCACAGCTGTGCAGCCTCCCTGGGCTGAGCCAGCAGCGGCTGGGGCGCTTTGGTCAGAGAGGCACCCGAGTTCCCAGCGCTTGCCAGCGGCTGGAGACCAGAGGCTGCAGCACAGCACCCACAGCTCAAGCATCCTCGGAGGCTCTCTCGGGGCGGGGCACCTCCCTCTCCCTGCCCTCCACTCACCCTGCATTGCTTTGTGCATCGCGCCCCGTAGTGTTCAAGCTGGCATACAGCTTGTCCAAGTGCGTGGAAACCAGGCGCTGGCATTGGCTTGAGTGGGCTTCCCGGTGGCTGGGGAATGAGAAGGACCTTGGCTAGGAATCCTTCATCCCCGAAACTCAACTCCTTCTCAGTCAGGGGGCTGAGCTCTCAATCAGTCTTACCCATCCCTGTGTGTCCAGTCATCATGTATGCCCCATTTCTGTTAGCCATGAGTTCAGGGACCATGCATTTCAACCCCTCTTCCAGTGTCTGGCTCAGGGCAAGAGCTGGGGAGATATTTATTTAGTTTTAGATTTATTTTATTAATTCGAAAGGCAGAGAGAGAAGGGGAGATCTCCCATTGGCTGGTCCACACCCCAAATGCCTGCAAACAGCCAGAGCTGGGCCAGGCTGCAGCCAGGAGCCAGGAACTCAAGCTGGTTTTTGTAGATGGGTGGCAGGGACCCAAGTACTTGAGCCATCCTCTGCTCGAGGTCCCCAGGGTGTGCATCAGCAGGAAGTTGAATTGGAAGGGGAGGTGGGACTGAAACCCAGGCACTCCGATTTGAGATAAAACTAGGCTTCCCAAGCAGCACATTAAGGGCTGTGCCAAATGCCCACCCCAGGAAGCGTCTGTTGAGTGGATGCTGAGACACAGGGTTAGTGCCAAGTGCAGGCTCTTGCAGACCCTGTGGATTACAGGGGCTCCTTAAGTCTGCGTTGCTTGGCAACGTCCCTTTGCCCAGAGAATATGCTGTACTGGAATGGAAAACGCTTCTTCATGCAGAAGTCTGAAGTGGGGACCCCTGCACTCTGAGCCTTGGGGGCCAGTGGGGCTCCTCAGAGGTCAGGACCCGGGCGAGAGACCCCACACTGCCCCTCTCCTCTGTGTAAGGTGAGAGTGACAATCCCAGCCCGAAGGCTCTGGAACACACTCACGAGCCAGTGCAAGTCCCAAGCGCCCAGATGAATTCAATTACACAAATGTACTTGAGTCTCTAAGGTATCACTTCAAGTCTGCCTTGCAGCTGACTTCAGCCAAGGACAGGCTGCAACTGTTACCAACACGAATAAACCTTGACTCTATTCAGAAATTTTATACTTCTGATCCCCCGCCCCGGTTCACACACCCACAATCAAGAAAATAAGTGAGACAGACAAGTAGATGAGTTACATTTT